CACAAAATTTGTGTAACATAAATTTCCTTATTAGGAAATTATATTTACGAAATTTGTGTAACATAAATTTCCTTATTAGGAAATTTAATAATTCCGGCCGGCATTATAAATTAGACAAGCCGGATTATTAAGCCGGCTTGTTAAGCCAAGCCGGCTGGATTAATCAAGCCGGCTGGACTAATCTAATCAAGCCGGCTTGAAAAAATTTAATAAGCCAAGCCGGCTTGTAAATTTGGCTTGGATTAATCCAAGCTGGCTTATAGAGAGCTTTAGCCCGAACCCAAGTTTCGATTGTTCTTCTGATCTTGGATCTCAGGACATGGACCGGAACCATGATTGGATTAACGATCCAAGGCAACATTATAATGATACCGACCTCAGGGATATTGATACATTTATAAGTAGTGATTCCAGGATTAGTACCAAAGAAGAAAACTTAACTGTGGATTATCAGACACTAAACAATAATCAAAAGAAAGTTTTCAATCGAATAGAGTCCCATTACCATGATGTGCTCGTATGGCATCAAGTCGAACCTTTAAGGATAATTGTAATGGGAACTGCAGGGACCGGAAAGACCTACCTAATCAAAGCAATCCGAGGTAGGCTTCAAGAAATGGCAGGAACAGGATCTAAATCGCCTATAGTCGTGCTTGTGCCAACAGGAGTTGCAGCATTTAACATCAACGGGGGAACGATACATTCGAAGTTATCAATACCAATAATTAATGACGCAAAACGTCTTGATATACAGGGCGAACGATTAAAGCAACTACAGAATAAATTAAAAGAGGTGAGATATGTAATAATCGATGAGAAAAGCATGGTTGGTCGCCGAATGTTTGCTTTAATTGACATGCGGCTTCGGCAAGCTTTTCCAGAGCATAATAACGAACCATTTGGCGGCAGATCGGTTATTATGCTGGGAGACTTTGGCCAGCTCCCACCTGTACGTGATCTCCCGATGTATGCCATTACTAAGCGAGATGAATTTTCCGATAGTGGTTTTGTGGCATATAAACAATTTAAAGAGGCATATAAGCTTAATGTTGTTCATCGCCAGTCGGGGAATTCAAAAGAACAATAGGACTTCAGAAACATTCTTTTGAGAATGCGCAATGGAGAATCTACTATAGATGATTGGAGAACTCTCGTTACACGATTTGAAGATAATTTGAGCGTGGCAGAACGTAATAGATTCTCTGGCGCTATTTTCATCCTAACGAAATGGGCTGATGTTAACGCAGTAAACATAGACCAACTTAGATCTTTGAATGTTCCCGTTGCTAAAATTCAAGCCATACATACCGGAGGCAACGAGGCAAAGAAAGCCGACTCTGACACAGCACATGGTCTTGAAGCACAGTTATTGCTGGCAAGAGGATCTCGTGTCATGTTAACGGCAAACCTGTGGACAGAAACTGTACTGGTTAATGGGTCAATGGGAACCGTCAAAGACATATTGTTCAAAGAAGACCAAGGACCACCTTCTTTACTTATAGCAGTACTAGTCTCTTTTGATAGTTATAAAGGTCTCACCATTACTAGCTTAGAGGGTGAAAGGGTTGTACCAATTGCACCAATTCGACGTACGTTTTATGGTAAATCTGGAGTTTGTTCACGACTACAAATCCCTGTTCGTCTTGCTTGGGCAATTACTGTGCATAAAAGTCAGGGTCTCACGTTACAAAAGGCCATAATAGATCTCGGTGATAAAGAATTTATCGCTGGTCTTTCATTTGTAGCGATATCTCGAGTACGCACCCTTAAAGATATTCTCTTCAAGCCGTTCAACTTTGAGAGGCTTCAACATATTAAAGAATGCAAAAGGTTGCAAGAAAGACTAGACGAAGAAAAACGTCTAAATTCCATAATACCGGGAAATTGAAATAAAGTTTACAAAAATTACGTATACAATCACTTAAGTATAAAAAAAATAATAATGTTTTGTGTAAAAATGTTTCAATAATTATATTGCATTTAGCGTGTATACAAATTGCATTCTAAAGTATATACTTTTGTACAAAAATTTCTATTACAAAAAAAATTTTGTTCTATTTTCTAAGAAAAAAATTTCACACACACACAACGCTTAATCAGTATATGTATATCTTGTCATACGTGATGCATATGATTAATCAATGTATCACAATTTTATTTATTTTGTTTATCTTGTTTATCTCAAATTTTAAAAACGTGACGCGTGCGGACAACCGGAAATCGCCACATGTAAGGTTGCTTGCTGAAACCTAGGGGTTTAGGCAAGATGGCGTTTTGCCGAAAAGCGAAATTCTGCCGAAACTATATTAAAGTTATATTAAAAAACTGGCGAAACTTTGGAGAAAGGCGAAACTGCCGAAACTTATTATAAATGCCGAAACTGCCGAAACTCTGCTGAAACTATAATAAATCTATAGTAAAATTTTGACGAAACTAATCGTAGGATTTTGAAGAGGTTTAGACAAGCAACCTTAGCCACGTGACACTAATTGTCACCGATCCTCGTAAAATTATATAGTCCTTCGCTACGCTCTGGACAAAAAACGTTTCGCAATATTTTTTCAATGTTTTAATTAAAAAACGTTGCGAAAACGTTTTTTTTAATAATATATTTAAAAAAAATGTTTCGCAACATTTTTTTCCAATGTTTTAATAAAAAATGTTGTAAAATATTTTTCTGAAGATAAAGCTCGAGCTTAGCTTGGCTCAAGCCAGGTTTTTAATGGCTTGACTCGGCTCACTTTAGCTCGAGCTGAAATTTTTTATGGTTCGGCTCATTCCGGTTCATGTCAGAATTTTTATGGCTCAGCTCATTCCGGCTCAAGCCAGAATTTTTTTTTCAAGCCAAGCCGAGCCAGACTGTAGCTTGGCTCAAGCCGGCTCGTGCAAAGCTTTAGTAGTTACACATAACATTATCAGATTTCATCACAAATATTAAATACTACTAGGATTCACCTGTTAACTACATCATTAGCAGTAAATGGTTAAAACCTAAACTTAAAATAAAGTAAAAATTTAATTATTTAAATTTTTTCTTGATGTTATTCTTGAACATGCAACATACACACGTCAAATGACCAAAAACAGGCAAAAAAAATGGCTAGAATTGCATAAACTATTCGCAAATTTATATAAACTATTTACAAATAGTATAGGTTAATTCGCAAATAGCCAAAAACAGCCAAAAACAGCCAAAAATAACCAAAAATAGCTAAAAATAGCTACTGCTTTTCGCGCCATTTTTTTTGCCGATTTTTAGCATTTTGACCTGTGATATAGTTGTCCATGAGAAAATACAGGAGTTGAAGATACAAACCAACCTAATTTAATAATAGTTCTTGAGATTTATTAAAGTCATTGCAAATGCTGATTGTTAATCCTAAAAAAAATGCATAAATTAAAGTACTGCATTTATAGAAATCAAACGAAATTTTTTTTTTAAATAAAAATTGGTCTCAGAACATTTGGGTCACCAAGATTTTCAACCTTAAGAATCAAAAAATGCAATAAGTGGGTTGAGCTCATCTGGCGAGGCCTACCTCATTAGAGTGTCCTTTAGGTCATCAGCCATTAGCACCCAACTGCCTATGACTAATGATACATCACCACTACCTTCTGATACCACAAAATCCCAAGTATTACATAGGAGCACAGCGCTTTCGCTATATGCATACCCTGCCTCCATAATACGGCCTACCATATAGAGGTATTAAAAATGGTGCATTTCATCAGTGGCCAAAAAAAAACCCTCGAATGATCCCCCAAGTACAGTAGTACCTTTTGTGAAAAAATTTCAGGATAATCTCTCTTTCTTTTCGTTCCTTTGTTTTCTCTATTTCATTTTTTCACAATGGTTTTTTTCTTTTTTTTTCTTCTTTCCCTTTATTCTTTTTCTTTGGGTATTGATATGAAAAAAAAAATTATTATAAAAAGGTAAAAACTATTAAAACTTAACACGTAATTATTTTTAACGCGTTATATAAATATCAAAGATAGTTTAACATAACCCAGCGAGAGCAGAATATGTACCTGTTGTACGCCAGAATAAAAATAGACACGCATATACAGTGGTCTGACTGTAATTGTTAATATGAATATATTTTGTTGAATAAAGTATACTGTTGATAACAAAAACTGTCAAATGTTTTTCAATATTAAAAAAAAATTGAATAAAGAAATGTAGACGTAAACATAATCGTGCGAATGTTTAACATGTCTAACAAACAATGATTTAATTGGATAAAAATTGCAAAGTCATGTGCCTAATAAATTCATGAATAGTGCTCCGCACGAGCCAGTCCAGCTCGAGCCGGCTCGCGAGCTAGGTATATCGAGCCGAGCTGAGCCGCGGCTCGTAATAAATTTGGCTCGGCTCATTCGAGCCGAGCTTTGATACAGCTCATTCGAGCTGGCTCGCGAGTTATGAGCTGGCTCGCGAGCTCCAGAACTTTTTTTCTTTATTATTGCCAGCGTCACGTGATTTTTAATTTTGGCCGGAATTAAGTGATTGACATGGAAATCTCCTTTTTTGGAATCCTGTGCAACGCATTTCACCATTTTTGATAAGAAATAAAATTGCCTTTTTTGGATTGTGTAACGTTACTCAGGTGTTCAAAAAAGGAAATTTCCATGTCGATTACTTAATTCTGGCCAAAATTAAAAAAATCACGAGAAATATACAGAATTTGATAAAAGCTCGGCTCGGCTCGAGCCAAGCCACCTTAAAACTCGGCTCGGCTCGGCTCGAGGTTGGCTCGACACGAGCCAAGCTCGAAAATTCTAATCGAGCCGAGCCGGCTCGAATTTTGGCTCAGCTCGGCTCAAGCCGGCTCGTGCGGAGCTTTATTCATGAATACGATATCAAATAATATCGTAACAATATCGTTATCTTTATTTATTTAATAAATCATGCACGTTATCATAAATAAATATACCAAAAAGAATCATGAGATATTGTACTGCATAATAAAGCTATATAGCCGTAAAATAATAATTATTTTTTATCCACAAATCAATTTTCGTATCATAGACATAGTGAACTTTCTGTACGTGGTCAATTATTTATATCGTGAAGATTCTTCTCCAGCTAATGTCTTGGCTTGTCTGAATGCGAAAAAGAGGACATTTCAATACGTTGTGAATTCTGTTAATATTGTTAAACCAATCAATAGTAATAAAGGCATAATATTTATCATCATTGCCTTTGTATTTGAAGATCCCTTTTATAATCGCATAACATTCACCACTGTCTTCCTCGTGTATTGTTACGACGTCACCAATATGAAGATGTACTTTGGAAAATACACCATCGCTTTTTTCCATAGTGTATGTCGCCAATTCATACCAGCTCATTTGAGAATATATAAGAGCTGACTTTTGTCCAATGTCCATAAATGAAAGAAGCAACTCAGATTTGAAATTTGGCAAATTTTTCATAATATTTTCACGATCCTGACGGGATAAGCTTCTCTTTAAGATAATATTTGTAATAAAATCCACTGGAGATGAAATCGCTAAATAATTGCGGAAATATTATTATTATAAAATTGTAATACAAACCTTCTTCATTTCCTTCCAGTTCTTGTTCATTTGATACCTTGTCTTCAGTACACAGGTCGAACAGATATCATTGTCACAAAATTTGCCTGGATTTTTTCTGGCAAATTGAGAATTATCCCGGTAAATTGGGGTAAATTGTGTTACAATTTTGGGATATGTTGGATTATCTAATATGACCGCAGAATATACATCTGAAGGATGGACCAGATTATTTAATTGTTATTCAATAGGAGAAGAGTGTCTTAATGTTATATTACAACAAGACATTTTAAAACGTGAAAAACGAGTTGCAAAGTGCAGAAGAGCAAAAAATATTGGACATCATAAAATAGCAAATATGAACAAATCTAATAATAATACTAGGGGTCGTAGTAGAGGTGGAGTTCAGCATGTATTGCCATCTAATATATTTACAAATCAATCTTCAAATTCAAATACTTCTGTTTTTAATGAATCACAACATTCTTTTAGTATGCCTTCTAATCCCAATAATTCTTTTGATCAAAATATTAAGTACTTGAACAACAATTTACAAAATATACATCTAAATTCTAGTGTTCTCTCGCAATCTAATCCTAATGCAGAAATTCAGAATCTTCCTAATATACAAGCTATTCATTCTCTTCCAGACTCAATTCAAAATTCCCGCCCAACCAAACGTACCAAAAGAACAACCCATACACAAGAATTATCATTTTTAAAACCATTAGTGAATGATACAAGCGAAGAAAATATTAATAATGCTATTCAACAATTGAATAATTGGAATATAGCAAATAATCAAACTGAAAATATGTGGGATAGACAACGCGTAATAAAATGGTTACAAACACGAACCCGTAATGATAGGTTGACAAGAGAGAAACGAGAACGAAATAATTAAGTATAAAAATAAATTATTAGTATCAATATATTGTATTAATATAGAAACATTGTAATATTTACCATTATTAATAAAGAATTTTTATATTATCAGCCATCTTTCAACAAAATACATATATACTTCTGACCAAATTTTACAATAATACACCTATATTAACGGTTGACATTTCATGTAAAAAACTTTGCGAAAGAACTTATATTGGCAGAAGGATCTCAGCCATTTGAAAGTTCATACGAATTACTTTTAATGTATTTCAAAAAAAGTTTAAAGTCGTTGTCCTGTTCGAACCAAATGAAGATAGGCTAATTTATGTAGTACAAGATTTTTAATTTGTGCTTGCCGCTGCGCTGGAAATGTCCAGTGACTGTTAATGACTAAGAATTGCGTGATTTGCCATAAATAGATTTTAGATTATTCATCAGTCGTTATTTGCTAACATACCAGCTCGGAATGGCCTATTATTTTCGTAGGAGCGTTTTACCAACTCGCCTTGTTACCCGTAAAGACATGCTTTTTCAACCACAAAAATTTGCGTTAAGAAATTCAAACCATTACTTGTTTCAATCCCCATTTTCGAGATATTATACAAACTCTACGCCTCCCCCCCAAGAAGTTTCTACCTCTTCCTCTTACCTGAATAAATTCGCAAAAGCCACTACAAAACGGCTTCCGGTATAATCATTATTGTTTGTTGTGCATATTATTTTGGTCAAGTTCCTCAAAACTGTTCCATTTGTAGAATGCTATATTGGCAAAGTTAGTTGTGGCTGGTGTTATTAGTTTGATATCGACGGATCTTCTTTATGCTTGGTATCGGAACAGGCACAACGAGCGTCTTCTAAACAAAACTATAGAAAAGGGCACTCGACCTAAAATTGATGTTTTAGATGATGAGTTTGTTCCCCGACCTCTAGTTGTAAATCGTCTTAAACAAATTCTTCAACCGGATATAAAACAATCATCTTATCATGTAGTTTGTGGAGAACACGGTACCGGGAAAACCATATTAACCAGAATTGCATCAAGGGAAGTAGGGCAGGGTGTCATATACGTTGAAATTCCTTCTGATCCTTCTGATCCTAGTAAAATAAATATAGAGGACTTTGGCGATGCATTTGGAGAATCTCTTAACTTTAAATTTGAGGAACATATTTCTTTTACGGCACAGCTTATGAAGAAAATATTAGGTGGTAATGGTAAGGTAATCATTATTATCCTTTACAATTGAAGCTTTTGATCCTAATGTTTCTTTTTAAAGGTAAAGTCGACGCGAGACCCAAGTGGAAAAGAGCCTTAAAAGCCTTCAAGAATGCCGGTGCAGCGTACAAAGCAAAGTACAATAAACTTCCAGTCATCGTTTATGACAACATCAGCGGATTAGTTGATGTAAACCCCAAAGTTCTTGATGCTCTTCAAAATGATGCCAAAATGAATGCTGACCACCGAAAATACATCGCAGTATTTGTCAGCAGTGAAGGTTCTGTTCCTCGAAGAATGCAGGGTAAGTGCTAACAAGGTTTTTTCGGGCAAAGCATAATTTGTTGATCAACATTCTTATTTCTAGGACGTAGTGCTATATCACGTGCAGAGGAACCAATCGAAATTGGGGACCTTACCAGAGAAGAATCATTGGACTACCTGGTCAATAAGCGTGGAATCAAGACTGTAAGTAAAGACAACAAGATCGATACTACTGAAGCTGAAAGATTATATGAGTTAGTTGGTGGACGCATTGTGGATCTTCAGTCAGTGGCAAAGAAATTTCTTGAAGGACAGAATTTCGAAGGTACTATGTTTTGTTTGACACTTTACATTTAATGAATTTATGTAAATTTGCTTTGATCACTTCTAACTCTATTTCTGCAGATATCAAAAAGAAACAGTTTATAAAAGCTGAGGATAAGCTTAGAACCGCAAAACTCCTTAAAGGCGATGAATTTTATGAAGTAGGAAAGTGTGTCATTAAAGCTTTGTTAGACTCCAAAGAACTTAGCCGTATTGCATATGAGGAATTTTTTAAGAATCGTGATGAAGCCAATAAAGTTTTGGGGTTAAATGTTTTCGCTTATCATCCTGAACAAAATACCGTAACCTTTCAATCTCAACTGATAGAAAGCTATGTTCGGGAAAATGCTAATATATATCTTAAGTAATAGAGTTTATGATTTTAGAATTCGATATATATATATATATATATATATATATCATGGAGTTTATCTGATTAGTCATATAATTCATAAGAATTTTTAGCGTCGCCAAAATCACGTGATTGATCGTTTATTATATATTTTTGTAAAGTAGTAATATACAAGAAAGGGCTGGCCAGTTAATTAAAATGTAAAAATAATGAAGCAGAGTTTCAGGGGAGGAATTTGCCGAGCCCTAACCCATATAATGGCAATGTGTTAAAGTTGGATAATTTTAATAAGTAGCAATAATAAAAACATAAAATTTCGGACTAGTATTCATGTAATTTTTATGGATTTTACAAAATTCCATGGAAATCTACAAGTAATATGGCAAAAAAAATTTTCGCCGCTCACGTGGCAATTATTATATTTTAACAAAGTACTTCAATAAATAAAATTTCAAATTTCAGACTATTGTTGTTTATAGGTGACAGCCACCATACTCCATACTAACTATTAACTTTATTATTTATAATACTACTGCTATTACTTGTGAAACTAACTACCCTTTTTCCCTCTTTCTCAATCCATAGAATTATTTTATCTATCATACATCAGGAAATTTTTTCAGGTGATATATAGCAATATATATCACTTTATCGATATTTATCACATTATTTATGAAATGTAATATATATCGATAATAATCACACTCGTCGAGTAGTATCGATATGGATAAAAATGATAAATCATCAAATTTAAACCTAAATGATATATATCGATATTTAACATAAATAATAAACAATCGATATTTAACTTAGACAATAAACATCAAAATTTACTTAAATGATAAACATCAAAATTTAATTTTATTTAATCATGATATTGTAATATACAAATAAAATGAAATAAAAATATAATTTAAATATAGTAATTCTACTCATAAATTTTAACCCGAACTCCGAAAGACGGAATTGATGAAACTACAAGAAAACTGAAGTAAATAGAAAAGTTAGCAAAAGTTTCTAATAAAATAAAATAAAAAATCCAGTTCACAACAGTATGTTGCGAAACCAGAATGGCAGAATTGAAAACCTACACACCAAATTTCACACATCCAAAGGCTCAGCCATCTAAAAAAAAAGGAAAGTTAAGCTGACACCTAAAAAAAGAAAAAAAAATCAGACTTTTTCAAATAAAAATCAAAAAAAAATATTTTCAAAGCTTCAATTTACCGATCCAAGTCACCAAGAAAGAAACTGGTATTTAAAAAAAAATTTCAAAGATTTACTTAAGATCGAAAGTTTGAAGGCGTCAAAACAAAGAGCCGATACATACCTAAAAAATTAAAATTTTTTATTTTTAAAATAAAAATAAGTTTCGAAATGAAGCCTTTAAAACTTACCAATTTAAAGTGGTAATGTCAAAGTTAACTTAAAAAAAAGAAAAAAAAAATTAAAAATTTTATTTAAAAAAAAACAAAATAAGTTTCAAAATGAAACTCTCAAAACTTACCGATCCAAAGTCAAAGTCGAAGCCAATACATACCTAAAAAAAGAAAAAAATTAGAAATTTTTACTTAAAAAAAAGTCAAAAAAAGTTTTGAAACGAAAAGAAACTTTCAAAACTTACCAATCTGAACGAAAGATCAAAGCTAATATATGCCTAAAAAAAAGAACTAATTAAAAATTTTTATTTAAAAAAAAAGAAACAAGTTTTGAAGCGAAACTTCCAAAACTTATCGATCTGAAGCCAATACCTAAAAAAAAGAAAAAAAAATAGATTATTTTTTTTAAAAAAAAACACAAGAAAGAAGGAAACTTCTGAGATTTACTGATCTAAAGCCCAAAAGGAAAATTAAAGCCGATCTGAAATACAAAATCCACGTGATCAGACCTGTCTAAAAAATAAAAAAAAAATTTGAAATGTTAATAAACGTTTTGTTACTGTAAAAATTAAAAAAAATAAGAAAACTAACCACCATTTTCACAAGAGATCCGCTGAAATAAAAATGTTACCTAAAAAATAAATTCGTAATTTTTTTTATTTTGTAAAAAGCGGTTAATTTAGGTGAAGGGAAGGATAAAAGAAAGGAGGAAATGAAAGAAAGGGAGAGAGGGGAACGAGAGAGAAGAATGAAAAAGGGGAAAGATAAAAACAAAGAAGAGGAGGAAAAAGGGAAGAACGAAAAAGGGGAAAGAGAAAAACGGAAGGATTTTATTAAAAAAAGTTTAAAAATAGTTTAAATAAAAAAAGTAGATTAGTATTATATGATACGTGATACACGTAATACATAATTTTGTAATGGGATGTGTATAACTAAGTCAAGCCCATAGATACCTATATTTGCCATCTTGACCATTAACAAAAAATCCTTTATTTAATAATGAAAATATCAATAAAATATAAACAAAATCAAATAATCATGCTTGGTTTCTAAGAAATTCATGAGAATTAAGTAAATTAAAATAAATTCATCAATTAAATCAAAAAAATTAATAAATTTATCAAAATCTTAAATAAAATATCGTTGAATTTCCCCTTTTCGTTAATAAAATAATGATTTTTATAATAATAATTTCTGAATTCATAAAAATATTTCCTCTTTCTATAATTAAAATTCTTCAATTTCAATTTTCTTCCATTTCGTTATTAATAAAAGTTGTATTCGATAATCATTTTTTCGCGAGATTTTTAATTTCCTTGTAAAAATATTTTCATCCCTTTTTTGGTTTTCTTTTAAAATATTACTTTTCTATAATTTCTTAAATATAATTTAAATAGATATTCATTAAAGAACCTATCTTACAATTTTACATACTCACAAAAATAAATATTACATTAATAAGTCGATCATTACTATCTTCAATTTTCCGCTGGTTGGACATTTTTATTGGTAAAACATTTTAAAATTTTTAAGTTTATATACTTAGAATAAATATATTACTGCGGTTTATAACTACTCAATAATTGTATTTTGTTAATAGATGTTTTTTAATTACCAATGAACCAGAACTAAGATCAAACAATATAAATAATTAATATTAATCTTGGTGGAATAATTGCGATAATTATTAAATTATTAGTGTTTATCATGTTAGTAATTATCAATATCGTACTAATCATAGTTTATCAAAAATTATCGTGTTGAATTTTTCAATAATTATCAATACTGTGAATTAATATATTTATTTTCTTCGATAATTACTAAAATCGTAAATTAATTTGTGAAATTTTTTCAATGATTATTTAAACCGTAATTTATCAATAGTTAACTTATGCAATTTTTTCGTTATATATCTATATCATAAATTATCATCAATTAATATGCAGATTTTTTTTGTTAAGCATCAATATTGTTAATTAATAGCAATTAACCTAGTGATAATTATTGGTAATCATCAAATTTGTTAATTATCGTTATATTTCTTGATAAATACCGATAGGGTGATTTATCTCCTGAAAAATTTTCCCGATGTAGTTTTTCTTGGATTTGTTCAGTGATGATAGAAGTTAGCTAATATATCAGGACTAAGTCTGATTTCATCAGACAATATATTAATGTCATGTATTGCTCAACACCAAAAAGTGTTAAGCAATAAACCCTTTGTTAACTGATACCATTTAAAAATGTGTAAAATAATATAAATTTAAGTATAGAGCAACATATACAGTAAAACAACACAATTTAACAACATGTAATACAACATATTTTAAGTATTGAAAAATGCATAAATTAATATAATTTTTAATTACTGTATTATTATTCACAAATTAAAATATTTTTTCAGGAAACGTAATTATATATGCAGTTTTAGCAGGTGTATTATTCTATTTTTATCAACCTAAAATAAATAATAAACTTTAAAAAATATGTACTGAAAATAAATGGAGGAATTATATCTGCATGTGATTTATTATACATGATTTCTGACTTTTATTTTGCGTCTTAGCAGAATCAAATCGATTTTCTTCCACAAGTTAATTGTTTAACTATAGGTAAACATTCCAAATATAACAATAAAATTAAAATGTATTGGGTCAAATTCACTACCATTTTTTATTAAAAAAGAAAAAAAGGAAATCACTTTCCTATACAAATATATATTCAATACATTATACATCCACCCAAAACTTTTTGATAAATAATCTTCATATAAGTCACATCTTCTTTCTTTTATAATTTCTAAAGTTGCATCTAAGGTTGCTGGAGAAACTAGGGGGTTTTAGCAAGTTGGCAAAATGCCAAAATAGCGAAACTTTGCCAAAACTATATGAAAGTCTTATTAAAAAGTTGGCGAAACTCTGGAGAAAAGCGAAACCTGACGAAACTTATTATAAATGCCAAAACTGCCAAAATCTATAATAAAACTATAGTAAAATCTTGGAGAAACTAATCGTAGAATTTTGGAGAGGTTTAGACAGGCAACCTTAGTTGCATCAGAAAGTTTTAGGTGAGTATATAATATGTTAAACAATGTTATGTATTGCTCAACACTTTTTGATATTGAATAACGAACGAACCTTTTGCCATTTAAAAACATATAAAACAACACAAATTTAAGTGTAAAGCAATACATATAATAAAATAATACTATTTAACACATAATACAACATATTTTAAATATAGAAAAACATGTAAATTAATATATTTATTTTTAATTAATGTATTATTATTACTTCAGTTTACAAATTATATAATACTACTGTAACATAAATACTACTAGTAATGAAATTTCACATAAAGAGCTATTTAAAAATTAAAAATGTATATAATAAAAATAAATTATTAATAAATGTATTATTATATGCATCAAATTTTCTTTCTGAAAAAGAATTCTTACAAAAAAAATAACTAAAAAAGAATAAAATTGCTATGAATCGCCAGAGGCGATCATCGCCAGTGTCATGTGATTTTTAATAATGTATAATTTGTTACCCCACGTCACACCCTCCTTGTTTCCGTTTTTACTATGTATTCTAGGGACTTAGAATTTTTTTAGTATGAAAAATCCTATTTGTCA